GGCGGAGCCTGACATCTGTCGTCATCACGTCACCTGCCTAAAGGCGTGATTAGAGGTGGCTTCAGCCAGGACACGCAGGGGCGTGGTTCCCATACATATGTTGTACCTCGTTCCTTTCCTTCAGGGAACAGTAGTTATATGCATAACATTACGTTTTTATTATTATTATAGCTCTGAATGGTAAGAAATGATGACCTGGGTTGCATAAGGACTCCTGTTTTTCGCTCAAATAATGTTTGTGTTTGATATTTTCAGCCTGAGTGGGCGGAGTCATAATTTTTACACAAAAGAGGCCCGACCGTGGTTTAGACGGTGCCCTCGTGCCTGTTTACAACCGTAGCCTGTAGTAGAGATCCCGTTTCCCTACACCATACACACTGGCGACACATGAGTAGGAGGGGCCCCGCTGATGCCTGAGCCAGCGTCCAATCAGCGCTCAGAACTGCCCTCACTGGTCGAGCGGCTCGGCCAATGGCGTGAGCCCGTTTCGGGACAGCAGCCAATGGAGTTGTCCCTCGACTCAGGCACGTGGACGTACGCACGCGTTGATGCTCGTAAACGGAGGGGAGGGGAGCCGAGGCAGATCGATGAGCAACCGGGGCGGTGAGCGGAAGGCTGGGCTCCCCGTGATGCTCCTCCAGCCGCGGAGAGTGTGCTGACGGGTCTGTGGGAATAAACCCGCTGTCGGGAGGTTTTTATCCTCCTCACGAAGAAGCTGCTTTTTATTTTAAACTTACTGAAAGTGAGTATTTTCTCTTATCTCTGTAGCTAACGTTTCCAGAAGTTGCCCGACTTAGCCTGAGGGAATTTCCTGTCCGGTGTGTGTGTGTCTGTTGTGTGTGTTTTGTGTGTGTGTTGTCTCGTTTAAAACATACTTTGTGTGTGCGTTTGCGTGTTTCTTTTGAACTGTTTTTATGAATTAGTTGCCGGATGTTTTTCATTATAACCAGAATTAGGCAACGAGGAGCTCTGATATAGCTTAGCTTTGTTGTGTTATTTTGCATTTTTAAACCAGGTGTTAGTTTGTAGTAAACGTGTGTTTTAGTTCCTGTTGTGGCCAACACCTGCTTCTACCTGTTCATCCCATCCCTTCACGTCTCCATTCACACAGGCTGAAAGAAAGGCGTGTATGGGATAAATTTTGTGCCAACAGGATTGAATTTGAATTGCTCAGATTGAATCTGAATGTGTATAATTTGAAATTGAATGCATTGGTTTGAAAATGAGTTTCACTAAATTGAAGCTGAATTTAATTCACGTTCAGTTCCATAATTCAGATTTTTGTGTCACATCCTGGTCCTTGAGAAAGCCAGGCAGAGTAATCAAACACAGATCCACAGATTTATG